GGTGCGTGCGTGCGTGCGTGCGTGCGTGCGTGCGTGCGTGCGTGCGTGCGTGCGTGCGTGCGTGCGTGCGTGCGTGCGTGCGTGCGTGTGTGTGTGTGTGTGTGGGTGCGTGCGTGCGTGTGTGTGTGTGTGTGTGTGTGTGTGTGTGTGTGTGTGTGTGTGTGTGTGTGTGTGTGTGTTTGTGTGTGCGCCTTTTTGCTTGCTTGCTTGCTTGCTTGCTTGCTTGCTTGCTTGCTTGCTTGCTTGCTTGCTTGCTTGCTTGCATGCATGCATGCATGCATGCATGCTTGCGTGCCTGCCGGGTCAGGCATGCATGCATGCTTGCTTCTTTTGAAATGTGGTATGATTTTTCAATGTTTTTGTTCCTACTATGTTCCTCTTTTGTTGTTGCTTTTTGCAGGGTTCTCACGATTCGTTTGGGTTCGTTCCGTTTCGCGCGCACGTCCGTTTCGGTGTGTTCGATTCGATAGCCCTGAATCGCCGTACGATTCGAGCGTTTCGTTTCGCAGCCGGTTCCTTGCCAAGGCCCGGTTCGTTTCAATTCGTTTCGATGGGGCTTTGGGGGCCGCTGGTCGCCTCCTCCAATCTGTGGGTGCGCCCTCTCCGCCACCTCTTCCAACCTTTCCAGGGCCGCCCAGCCTTCACTGAGCCCGTCGTCCCTCCAACCATTGGGAGCCTGTTTAGCGGCCCTCCTAAAACAGCTTGTGTCAAGAAGTCTGTCTTCATGATCCCTACATGGAGTGTTCTAATGCGGAGCTCATGAATGGTCCCGACATGGAAGCCCGCTTTGGAAATGAACTCTTACAAGCCTTTCTGTTGCGGCCCCGTACTGGAACCCTTGTTTGCCTCTCATCTAAACGGAGAACAACTGAATGCGTCTACTGGATTCTTTGAACGCTCTTTTTTCGAAGGGGGGGGGGAAAGGCCTGACCTGTCTCTACAGGGAGTTGAGGATGGTGAGACCTCAGCGGGACAGGTGTTTTACGGGATCCCCTTTGTTTTGGGTTTCAACAAAAAAGAGGACAGAAAACAAACGCATGTTTCTACTGGTTTTGTTAACGGCCCCAAAATGGAACCTTTTCTGTTGGTCAAGGGAAAAACGCTTGTCTATACAGGGAGTTGAGGACGGTGAGACCTCAGCAGGACAAGTGGTTTTCTGGGCTCCAACCTTTGGGCTCCAAGCTCTGGTTTCCAACCTTTGAGCTCCAAGCTCTGGGCTCCAACCTTTGGGCTCCAAGCTCTGGGCTCCAACCTTTGAGCTCCAAGCTCTGGCAACCTTTGGGCTCCAAGCTCTGGCCTCCAACCTTAGGGCTCCAAGCTCTGGCCTCCAACCTTTGAGCTCCAAGCTCTGGCCTCCAACCTTTGAGCTCCAAGCTCTGCGCTCCAACCTTTGGGCTCCAAGCTCTGGGCTCCAACCTTTGTGCTCCAAGCTCTGGCCTGCAACCTTTGAGCTCCAAGCTCTGGCCTCCATCCTTTGAGCTCCAAGCTCTGGGCTCCAAGCTCTGGGCTCCAACCTTTGGGCTCCAAGCTCTGGCTTTGAGCTCCAAGCTCTGGCCTCCAACCTTTGGGCTCCAAGCTCTGGGCTCCAACCTTTGGGTGAGCTCTGGGCTGGGCTCCAAGCTTTGGCTCCAACCTTTGGGGTGCAACCTTGAGAGGCTTCCACCTACAGCTCAACCTTTGGACCTTAACCTGTCTACCCATGCAATCTCTTAGACTTCCTTCCTCCAGCCGCATCCTGGCTTGTTTGCCTGTTCTCTTTGCCAGCTCTGCCCTCCAACCAACCCGTTTCGATTCCATGCGGTTCGGAAACCGCCAATTAGCCGATTCGTTTCGTTGCGTTTCGCCGGGTTGGCGAACTTGGTGTTGATTCGTGTCCAGGAATCGCGCGGCCGGTTCGCGCCGGTTCCGGTTCGCGATTCGCGCCAGCCGATTCGATTCAGTTCCGCGAGCTTCCTGTTTTTGGTTTATTTAATGTCATTCTTTCTATTTTCTTCCTTCTTCCATTCTTCCTTTCTTCCTTTCTTCCTTTCTTCCTTTCTTCCTTTCTTCCTTTCTTCCTTTCTTCCGTTCCTCCTTTCTTCCTTTCTTCCTTTTTCCTTTCTTCCTTTCTTCCTTTCTTCCTTTTTCCTTTCTTTCTTTCTTTCTTCCTTTCCTTTGTTTCTTCCTTTCCTCTCTTCCTTTCCCTTTTTCCTTTCTTCCTTTCTTTCTTCCTTCTTTTCTTTCTTTCTCCCTTTCCTCTGTTTCTTTCTTTCTTTCTTTCTTTCTTTCTTTCTTTCTTTCTTTCTTTCTTTCTTTCTTTCTTTCTTTCTTTCTTTCTTTCTGTCATTGTCTTCTTTTTCTTCCCTTCCTTTCTTGTCTTTTCTTTAGTTCATTGCTCCTTTGTTTCTTTTCTTTTCTTCTCTTTTCTTTTCTTGTCTTTTTTGCTTCTTTTATTTGTACTCTTTGGTTGGCTTGGTTCGGTTTGGTTTGGTTTGGTTCAGTTCGTACGTTCGTTGGTTTATTTATTCCTTTGTTTTTATGTTTGTTTGTTCGGTTCTGTTTCTTTCATCTTTTGTTTGCTCGTTTCTTTAATTGTTTCTCTGCTTCTTTGCGACACTTGCCAATCCTTGAAACCGCTTCAGCAGGTTTGGCAACTTCTGGTTGCTGCCACATGGACACTGTTTCTCCCCCTGGATTCCAGAGCATGGCGCGGCAAACAGGTCCAAAGAGCAATCCAGGCTTGTTCCGACATGGCGGGCTTGTGATCATGTCATGAACCGCGGAGATCAGAAAGGGACCATGCAACGTCTGCTATTCGTGTCTGGGCAACTGAGGTTGGAACGTGGCTTGCTTGGCGACCGCCTCAGGGTGGCTTTGAAGTTGCGGCGACTTATTCGTGATACATATTGACCCTGCAAGCAGTGGCAGCGGAGTATTTCACCGGTCGCACCCGAATGTTGCCACATAGCGTTGCAGAGCATGAGGGTGGGTGCCCTATGCTTCAGCACAAAGCAGCTCATGCCATTCATAAGGGTTGCATACGGGTAGTGGCGGCTTTTTGAATTGTAGCGGAAATTCCGGAAGTTGTTGGCTGCTTGAGAGGTGTGGGTGTGTGTACAGTGAGCAGTTGGATGATGTACATTCAGAGCTGGTGGTGGGGCGATTGTATCAAAGCAAGAATCATCATTCCGGGCAAATCTGAACGCCTGCAAAACTGCCCATCTTCCAACCTGGGACAGTTCATCCGGTCAAGCCGAACCTCACACAACATGTTTTTTGGTGGCTTATCCTGGGGCAGCTCTCCCTCAGCCACTGAACTATGGCTCCACCTATCCCCCTGGAATTTGTTGGCTTTAATTTCTTTTGCATTTCCTTTGGCCGCATGCCGCCAAGGCAAGTGACCAAGAAAGGCACGCTCGGCATTCAACTTTGCCCAGTGCATGAGATGTTCGTATGAGGAAGCTGGAAGGCCAAGTCTTTTGGTCGAAGTTTGGATCTTGTATGGCTTGTTTTCGTGCTTATTCTGGCCCCCTTCCATCCCCAGGATTTCTAGACCGCAAACATGTTGGTTGCATGTCTTTCTCCAACTGTGCCTCAATGCCAGGTGCGGAGGGCTCGGTTTCACAGAATCCGTTGGCAAGTGCCAGCTCCGCTCAAGTGGGGAGGGCTGGACATTGTTCGATTATTCCTTGAATGGATGCTTTTGCGTCAAGGCTGACTGGATTTTCACAACACCCATCCCCAAGAGCCACAATCGTTCTGTAAGACTTCTGAGAGGAGCAGGCTACTCTCTCTTTTTTTTTTGTGTGTGTGTGTGTGTGGCAACTTGACATCTCATTGGCACAAGTATTGTTACCACGAGACTCAATGCACGGAATTTGCAGACGTGCCGGCAGATGCCGGGCCACAGTTAATGTTTCGTCACCCAGAAAGGAGTGGGTTGACTTAGACTTAGGTGGTCACCTGCATGGAATCCTTGCCACTTTTGGCAGCTCGTCCTATACTCGGCTTCAGCCACTCCACAAGGACCGATGAAAGCAGGATTGCCATCTCTGAGATTCCTAGCTTTCTGGTGAGAGGGGCCAGTCGAATCAGGTACCCCCCGGATCAATCTGAAGTGAGCAGAGCGTGCAGTGGTTGGGTTTCCGAGACACCCATGCAGGCTGACACCTGCTTCGGCAGAGTTGGCAGAAAATCGGCGAGGTGCCCGTTGATGCGATTGTGATTCACGGACTTTTTGAATTGATAGAGTTATTTGGATTCGTTGGATTGATCGGATTGGAATAGTTGGATTCATTGCTTGGATTGGGTCGACCGAATAGATTGGATTCATTGGATTCATTGGATTCATTGTTTGGATGCATCGGATGCATTGGATTCTTTGGGATTTGCGGGATTGATTGGATTGATTGAATTGAGGGAATTGGGCAGATTTGTTTGCCACTTTTCGTGCCGCTTGAGAGGGTGAATGTGTCTGTTTGATACTAAGTTGCCCAACCGAGATGATGTCATGAATTCCGGGAAAGAGCCGAGTTATTGGATAGGGCTGCTTGTTGCAGCTATGGATAGGATTCACACGAGCCATAGGTGACAGTCTTAACCTTGGTGCGGCCGCGCTGGACTGCTTGAATCCCAGGCTTGATTATGGCTCAAATGCCTGTCGATAAGCAAAGACCAACTGCCCCCCATTTTGCGACCCATGCTCCAAGCAGCCAATCGCACTGATCGTGAATCACATGCAGCCAGCATCAGATACAGTCAAACAAGGGCCATTTTTAGGCCCATGCCTCAGAATTCTTCGTAAGGAGGACAAGTGATGTTTTACACCTGGAAGTCAATTGTTGCCGTTGCCAGTGTTGTTTCCCTACAGAATGCTCAGGGCACTGCCAAGGCAGGAAGACCACACAGCAGATTGCAGAAAAGAAAGCCTCCACGATTGATGTTCTTTCTCTGACGAGCAACAGTTGGGGCTCGCAATGCTTGCTGAGTTCTTGCGACGGGCAGCTCGGCTGAGCCATAGCGCATCCATCCATGGCAAGGGGCTTTGACCCCGATGATGATGAGGCGTGCGGAGCATGGAATGTTGGCCAGTATTGCCTGGAAGCTTGCTGCCCGTGTGCATCAGCTGGATTTTCTTCCATTTCCTGAACCGTGCTGGTGGAGCAGCCAAGCTTTGCTTTCATGTGAGATGTCTCTCTTGCAGGCATACTTCCGAGATGAGGAGGTGCCGACAGGCTCATGTGGGCACAGGGGAGGGGATGTTGTGCAAGTCGTGACTTTCGTGTGATTTGTTGCAGGATGAATTGCAGGATGAATTGGGCCGTGCCCTTTTGGATTGAAGTAGAACGCCTCTATATTTCCAAGGGGAGGTTGTCCGTCCGACAGTCATTCGGATGGCGCCGAAGTGACACTTTCATTTTAGTCACGAGCTGGGTTTTGCCTGTGTTAGTTGATTCCTCACTTCCAAAAAGAGGCTTTGGGGTTTCCGCAGTTGCTTGTTGTTTCCCAATTGCTGAGTTGTCTTCGTGTTTGTGTGCTGGTTGTCCACCATCAACTGGGTTCTTCCCCATTGCAGCGGAACGGGTCACACAGGCCTTAAACCATGTTGGCCGGCATTTGCTTTAGTGGCATTTGCCTTAGCAGACATGAAGGCCGCGAGCTTCGACCCTTAATCAAAGTGAAATCAAGCTGCATCAGTCTCGGCTATTTTGAGTTCTATGGTTGTATTCATATGTGCTGGGGACTGTCAGAAGGTTTTTACT